CCACCCCACACCTCCACCCCACACCTCCGCCCTACACCTCCACCCCACACCTCCACCCCCATCTCTGCCCCCCCCACATTACCTGAGACGTGCTGTCCTATCTCCCCCTTCCACAGAAGTTCTGTCTACATCATTAACCTAGTTAATCCATGATGTCCACATCCTTATATCTGTATAACTGCTTTCGTATCTAGGGAATCCACTGTGCTATAATTATGTTTGAGAACCACTTCTATATTTTATGAAAATGTTTCATTAGTGCTTAAAATTTTATATACTTCCCTTCATTTACCCCAAACTTTTTGCTAAAACTTTGCATTCCCTCTGAATCTGTAAAACCCATCAAGTATTCCGCACTGGGATTTTCTCACTAGAGTTGCTCGTCCAAGTCTCCAGCTGCTCCTTCCAGATGGGTTGTACCCTGGGGCTCACCAGCTCCTGGGGTGCCTCCCACCCCTTTGGCTTCTTGGATTCTGCTTCCTATCTCCTTTGCGCCTGTAATGGCCCCTAGAACCACCCGCAAGTAAATGTCTTGGAACTTTTCATGTTTGAAAATGCCTTTCTTCTGTTCTCATTTGACTTCTTTCTGGGTATAGAAGTCTAAGTTGCAATGATTTTTCCCTTAACTTCTTTACACCTGCAGCATAGATGTCTAGAGCTTGAGGTGATCCTCCTGCCTCAGCCTCCCTAGTGCTAGAATTGCAGAGGATGCCACCACCAGGCCCTGCCTACCTGAGCTATTTTGTGATTTATGTTAGAAATTAGAATTTATTTACCAAAGAGATCATATACAATTTTATTAAAATGTTTTATAATTTTGTAGTTCTTGACATTTTCCAAGTATTTGGCTTTCATAAATTACAAAGAAAATCATAAGCCAAGATTCAAGATCACATGGGCAGGGGAGGTCTTCCTGGCTTGGCCTCCACTGAGAGCTGCAGTCACAGGAAGGCAACTACTACACAGGCTCAATTTATGTATTTTTTAATATGGGAAAAATTGTACAAAACTTTTTTCCAAGTTATACTTGCTTCACGTTAGTTTTGGGTGTGCTGAGAGCTACATCAGGATGGTTTGGGGGCTCCCAGCAATGAATTGTCTGTAACAATGAATGTCTATACTTAAGACCAATCAGATCCAAGGAACCAATTAAGCTCAGTGAGGAGACAGATTTGGCTTAGTCAGAGGCCAAAGCCACCTCACAGGGTTGCAGTCACCATGCCTGGTGACACCCACTCTGCACAGGAACCATCTTAAGGAGTGAAGAGGTTCAGTGTAAAACAAGCTGATGTGTTACTTGGTGAGGATGTCAAAGAGTCACCATCAATATCTAGCTTCATGAGGGAAAAAGTAAGTTAGATTCTGGCCCCAGATACATTCTCATTGAAAACAACACCGCTGGGGCTGGGAATTTGGTGCAGCAGTAGAACACTTGCCTAGCAAGCCGGAAGGAAGCCCTGGGATAGGTCCTTGGCACCAAAAACAAAACTAAACTTCCCCTGAAAACAACACCTCGATTCGCAACTATATTTGGAATCTGATTTCTTCTCCAATTAAAGGCTAATTCAAGATGGCTCACAATGCGCTGTATGCACGAGTGACTACACAAGAGGTGAAGAGTGACTGTTTTCTTACTTGCAGTACAGAACTTCAATATTCAAGTCGCCATCATTGCAGTAAACTCCACAGTCTCAGTTACTGCTGGGAGAGAGACCGCTCTAAGTAGCTTTGGAATGGTTTGGAATACCCCCAACCCTGCATCCTAGGCAAGCCCGAACAGGTAGCTTTCCTGCCGAGTGGAGCAGGCTGCAGGGCTGAGATGCCTAGCGTGGCTTTGTCACACATGTGACACTTCCTGTGGGACTACCAGGAAGCTTACATCCCCCCAGCCTCATCCTTCCGCCTGCACCTCCCTACCTGGCTGAGTTGGGTCCACCCGTCAGGCACAGCAGGACTTCCAGTGGGACCATCGGCTTCCAAGAATAAGCCCTTGAATGCCAGCACTAGTGAAGTCTCTGCTGGCATCTTAGCTCCTGCTGGCCAGACCAAGTCATGTGCCCAAGTTTAAAATCAAATTTAGGGACAACACCGGCTGCATATCACCACAGAAATGACTCCCTGTGTGCTCCTGTAGAAAGACCACCAGCACACCATCTTTCTAGCAAAAAGCTTGGTGTTAAGAGAATTGCAGTCTTGGCCACCGTACATAAAGCAGGGAAAAGTTGGGCAACATGCCAACAACATAGTTCGGAACTTTACTGTTGTTTAGCTTGCTTGGTCCCAGCTGACCCTTAGTAGTCTCTGCTGGTTTCAAATCTCATCCCTCTGAAGCTGTGTTCCTCGATTTTCCATTCTGCAATCTCACCAGAGCAATTCAGGACTCTTTATTATGTCTGTAGCATTGTTCTGATATAGATGTTGACCAAAATACATGTGTGCCTTCAAAAAAATTATTAAGAGGCAAATTTCCATTAGGCACCATCAGAGTCCTCCCCCTCGCTTGAACACACTTGTCCCAGCATTCCTGTCACTTTCTGAAGCAGTTCTGGAAGTCCTTTTACATGAGTGTCTTTATACATTGTGATCAAAACTGGGGTGAATGTTATTGCTGCCGTCCAACACAAAAGGAACACGGACTAGTGAAAGCATCTCACTGTGTCCGCACCCACCTTATACGATAGATCTGGTGCCATGTATCTTCAAAGAGCTCACGAAAGGAAAATATTTTGAAGTTATGTAGGGCATGCAGGGAGCCTGGACAGCGTAACCAAAGACCTCCACAACTGCCTCAGAAAGTGGCAAGAATGATGCACAAGTGTGTGTGCAGTGAGAAGTAGTATTTTGACATGGGTTCATGCTGATGTCTTTTAATATAATGAAATTTTATAAATGTATTATCATATTTCTATCACACCATGTATATATAAATTTATTTTTCCCCACAAGACTGAAACATCCTTCATGCTAGGTCTTTTAAAACATTTACCTTTGACTTCTGTAGTACTTGTTATAGCATATGCCATTCATTCATTCTTAAATATGGAAGATGTAATATTGCAAAGTATAGGAAGAAAGAATTCTGTAATATCAAAATGTATTAATCATCTCAATCACTGTTAAATTTAGCCAGTTAAAAGTTTTGTTATCACAAAAGTTTTATTATAAAACATTTTTCTTTTTTTCCTAAACTTTAATTAGGTTACATATTAAACTGATTTGTAATTTTTTTTCTTGTCCTCCTTTTGGGAGGCTTGGATAGCGATTAGCACAATCCGACATTCAAAATCTCGGTCTGTTCTGATAAACCAGAGCTCTCCAGCACATGCTTGTCAAAGGAGAGAATGCAGAACTAGAAGATCAGGAACCCAGGCCTCGATCCTTGTAATAGAATGCAAAAGCAAAAATACAAAATGAATCAGTGGATGAATACACAAACAAGCATGCATTTGCATGTATGCCAAACCTATCTGCCTATCTGCCTGTCTGTCTGTCTATCTATCTATCTATCTATCTATCTATCTATCTATCTATCTATCTATCTATCATCTCTCCATCCATCCCTCCATCTATGATCTCAGTCATCTGTATCCCTAAGTGCCTTTTCAAACACAGGAACTCATATTCAATTTAAAAAAATAAAATATAGCCATATGTCTATAAAAAAGACAAATCCACAAAAGCAAAACTGACTAACTTTTAAGGCACACATATACCAAGAAAACAGTAACAAAAATAGATGTAATTGTATTAATATCAGACAAATCAGAAAGTAAAATATATTTGAAGATTATGGGGGTAGTGATATTGGTAGTGAGTTCTGAAGCCACTGTGACAGTCATGACTTCTGGGCCTCTTTGGACCAACTTTCCAAATATAGAAAGCCAAAGTTAATATAAATGTAAAAAATCACTTGACATATCCATAGTTAATGCATAAATAAGGATATAGAGTATTTGAATATTACATTTGACAAACATCTTTTAAAATATATATATAAATTGTTTCATCTACAAAAACCAAAGATGCTTTTCAGGTTCTTAATACATTAGTAAGATATATCCACAAAATTTAGACATGAACAAAATCACACTTTTTTGCCTCAAAGCAGGTATCACAGGAAACATGTTAGTGGATTGCAGGGCAATACTATTAGAACTAGATAAGGAGACCACCTACTCACAAGAAACTTAAGAAATTCGTTTTCCTCTTAGAGAAATTTCATGTAAAGGTGAAACCACAAAAGTACAATTTGAAGGAAACAACAGCGAAAGCCCAGCCCACAGGCCCTGAGGGACGCAGTCTGCCTGTCTCTTTCTGTGACACAAGCTGAGCAGTCCCTCCTGGGCCACCCAGAGCCTCCACTCCCAACATCACATCTGCACGGGGAGCCCTGGCCCGCTGTCGCCTCCTGCGGTGTGGCTGGGCTGGGTACCCATCTGGACTGCATTTTTCTTAAATCAGATCCTATTCGTGTTCTCTGTTTCTTGAATTTACTTTATATTGAAATGCATATTAGGTGTCCATGTTGGGAGCCAAGGCTGCAGAACACCCTGCTATCCTCATCCACTCTCTCAAATTATTTTTAAGTTATACAGCCTCAAGATGTGAGCATTACATAGATGACAAAACTGATGCAAAAAAAAAAAAAATTGGCGTCTCCTGAAAATTGGGGCTGAGGCTAAGATAAGAACTTGCCTTTTCTAATTTGTGCTTCCTTTTCTCTTTATCACAAAAATAGTAACTCTTGTCCCTGTATGGAGCAATGCTAGAGCCAAGAGTTGATCTGTCTTTGTGACTATTCACCTCCCAATGACAAGCAGAGCCATGAAGCTCTTGGTGTGTGAACAGCAGGTGTCATCCTTTCATAGTAGTGAGGGACGGTTACGGATTGTGTTCGGTCTTGCCAGTAGCTCTGCGCATCAGGTATTGCCACGCACCCCTCGAGCGTGGGCTTCTGGGTGTATGTCCCAAGTTCCTGCTGTTCACCTGTGCCTGGCAGTGATACTGTGTTCCTTTCAGAATACCCTCGAACCGAATCGGAGTGGGAAAACAGCTTTGCCCTGAAGATGTTTCTTTTCCAATTTGTCAATTTAAACAGTTCCATCTTCTACATTGCTTTCTTTTTGGGAAGGTAAGCCAACTGTATGTGGACTATTTCTCACAATCGAAAGCACACCAACTGTTCCATTACCAAGTAGCTAGCAGAGCTCACAAATTCTTGACCCCTTCCCTGGAAGACTCGCTAATCAGCCTTCAAGCGCATTCTTGCTCAGAGGTTGGCAGCCAGAACCAATTAAAGCTGGCACCAAAAATAAGACCTGCATCTACGCCATCCAATTATCAGCAATTATTCTCTTAGAGAAGAAAAGAATTTGTGAGTTACTCTATGTTACAATTCTTTAATGTGAAAACCTCTACCCACCATTAAGTCCCTTTTTTTTTACTTTGTTCTAAAATGTGGGGAGGAAAAGGATGCCCGCCTAAGGGGTGCACTTTGCTCTATGGTTGCTGCTCCACCCCAAGCCTTGGAAGCCTTCTGCAGGTTGACACGCTTTGAACCCCGCCGCTCGGCACGTTGTGGTAACATTCACTAACCTGGCCCCCAAGGCATTCAAAAGCATGAGTGAAAGCACTCGGAGCCATCGGGTGGCTCTGCCAGTACTTTCTCCACTTTCTGGTACTGAGTTCGGGTGCTGCCTTTTTCCTTTTCAAGCCTGGGGCTTTGATGTTGTCTAAGCTGCTCGAAAGTCACCCTGTCTGGGGGACAAATCGCACCAGTGAGCATTCTGTCACCCACTCATGCACTTGACCAATGGCTCAGCAGGTGTTTTTCATTTAATGGCTAATGAATTAAGATGCTTTTCTTTTTTTAAAGATTTGTAGGTCACCCTGGAAAATACAATAAACTTTTTGACCGGTGGAGGCTGGAGGAGGTGAGTGGCCTCAGGGGAGTTGGGAGGTGCTGTGTGTATGGGGGAGGGCAGGCCAGGCCAGGGCAGGCAGGAGACCGCGCCACGTCCGGCTGTGAAGGAGCACTTCCGGTACAGAAGAGCTCCTCAGCTTCCAAAATGAAGCAACTACATCTTTTGAAAAAGTGATGATGTATGAAAAGAATAAACCCCAAAATCCTGAATTTAGTTTTTTTTTTTTAACTTTTCTATTTCTTTCATTTATAAGCTCAGCTGCTCTGTGTTCCTTTTGCCTCTGAGATTCAGAATCTGTAGCTGTCTGCATCTCCAGCCCTTGAAATGAATCAGGCTTTCTTTTAAGAAGGCAAATTTTAGTCCAAAAGAAATATCATTTGAAATATCACCATATGAACATGTATAAATTTGCTTTAGTTTTGTTTTTGATACTTTTTCTTATAAAACTTTATAATATTTTCTAACAAAAATGTCATTGCTCTTAACCTCTTTCTGAACTGTCTCACACTTCTATGAAGCAAAAAGAAGCTTATTTTTTACTAATTTGCTAATTTTAAAAAATTAATGGTGTTTTACACATTACAACTTTATTCTCAGAGAACTGTGGTGATGCATGCCTGTAATCCCAGAGCTTGGGAGGCTGAGGCAGGAGGCTCACCGTGATTTTAAGGCCAGTCTAGTTGTAGTGAGTTCTAAGCCAGCCTGAACGATGAAGGAAGACCCTGTCTCAGAACAAGAGAAAAGAAAAACAGAAAAAGAAAAAAAGTAATCATTATTTTTTCACTAAATTTAAGTCACTTTTTTTTTTTTTTGGTGGAACTGGGGATTGAACTCAGGCCCTTGCACTTGCCAGGGAAGCGCTTAGTCTGCTGAGCCATCTCCCCGGCCCAAAGTCACAAATTTAGTAAAAATATTTTTTACTCAGCAAAGTAAGATTATAAAATTATCATAATCTATACCTTACAGTTGTATCCATTTCTAGGCTCCTCACTGATCAGAATGTCTTTTCCTAACTCAAAATTATTCTCATGGTCCTAATGCAAAATCTAATTTAATAAATAGTCTCATTAACAAAAGTCATAATTTAGAAACAGGCTAAGAAAAGATTTCCAAAAAGCTGTCCTGAGGTACTTCTAGTCACACCAAAGCCCCTTCTCATAACCCAGGACGCTGCACCTAGGTTTCCTCCTCAGATCATTTTGGCTTTTGATTATAGTATAGGAAGACAGCCTGACACTTCCTAAGAAGATCAGCTTTATTACCGAAAAATGGGACTCAAGTGCTAGTTAAATTTCCTTCTTATTCTCTGCTCTTTATTTAATTCTCTTGGGTCTCTCTTTTCTCTTCATACATTGGCAGTTGTCATATTTAGATGGCCAGGTTGTTTATAGATCAGAGATCATTTCCACAATACCGTCAGCCCCTTCCTTAGCTGTGGATGGCTCCCCATCAACCAGTAGTGGTCTCATCGCTGTCTCCATAGCCTCTGACTGGTTTTCTTATTTTGGCCAAAGTTCTTTCACAATTCTAGTGCCACCCCCCCATCCAAGTCCCATTTGTTTCTGATTTTGGCCCAGAATTATGCCCTCACCTGAAAAGGCACCCAACTGGGTATCCCAGGCATACCTTCCCCAGGAGTGTCCAACAGGAGCTATGAAGAGGGCAGCAGAGAGGCAGCCAGGTAGCTTGTGTGTTGATGACAATTTAGGAGCCAGTGTCACCAATAACTTTGTTTAATTGGATATTCTTATTCTTAATTATGACATTATTGGATGCTTTAATTAGTCTTTGAAAGACCTGAGAAAAACTGACACTTACGTTGAGAAACATGTTTCTGTGTTCGAATCCTTACCCAGTCAGAGGCAAGATCCTAAGGTGTACAAATTTCAGTTCTTGGTTTTGTAAACTGCTGATAAAAGTAGTTATCTAAGTATCCGTGATTGGTAGTTAGATTAAATTGTATGTGGGAACATTAGGGACAATTAAAGGGAACCTTTATAAAGAAACAAAAAAAGGACTACAATTGTATGAGCGCTGGAATTGAGAATCTCCAACTGTTAGTGATATGATATCTCACAAAAATACTTTGCATACATTCCTATCAAAAGTATTTAGGGAACGGCTGACACAGCAGGTGTACTACATGCTAGCGCAGTCCAGCGATCACTACTAAGCTCTCTCCATATTTTTATTCATGTATTCCTCATAGAAATTCTATTATATTAACCATTTTACACATATGGACACAAAGGTGTAGAGAAGTCTTGTAATGGGCCTATGTTCTAAGACTGATGAAGTTAGGGTGTGCTTAGTGAGTCGGCGGAGCTTCAGAGTCCGCATTGGGGACAGTGGCCTTCCCCACTGCCTCCAGGAGACTGGGGCCCAGTCGGGGTGCCATGAAGATGCACTTTGCTATGAGGTGGTTGTCGGGGTGCTGGCTCACACCTGTAAGCTGGACTGAGAGCGAGAATGCCGGAGCAGTGGAGCGAGGGGTCACAAGGGGTGGCGTGAGAGGGGCCTGCCCAGCTCCGGCTCCATCGTCCACAGAGAGCAGATCCAACACGCACCCTCCAGGGTTAAAGAGAAACTACGTGAGGGAGTTCAGCTGCAGCTCATGCACCCATGCTCACACAATGTAGGGGTGCTCAGGGACGAACATCCGGGGCCTCTACCCACCCCTCCTGCCCTTCAGTGCGCTTTAAGCATGACTGTTTTTATCAAGTTAATTTTCAAGAATGGACGGGCTGCCTTCAGCCACCGTTATGTGACCAAGGCAGATTACTAACATAAAAACTTTTGAGGGCTGGGGAGATAGCTCGGCTATCTAATTGCCTGCCTCGCAAGAGCAAAGTCCTGGGTTCGATCCCTGGTAGCCCACGCTGTGCTGGCCCTGGAACCCCAAGTGTGGTGGCACATGCCTGTTATCCTAGTACTGGGAAGGCTGAGACATAAGGATCAATATGAGTCTGAACTGAGTAGCAAGGCCCTGTATCAACAACAATAAATAAATAAATTAATAAAAAATTAGAAACAAAAAAAGATCTTTTGAACCTTCTCTCTTTCCTATAAATAATAAACGATCAAGGCTTAATTTCAACTCCGTCTTCTACCCTCCCCAATTTGGCTAATCTAGCCTTCCAGAGGATGCTCCAACCACACCATTCTATGATCTTGTGCTTTCCCCAGCCCGATGTAGTTAGAGCCTTGCGCCAGACACTCACTGCAAGCGTCGGGCACACCTGGTAAGCAGATCTAACCCTTAGCGTGGCACAGAGCAGCGGTGCGTGCGGGGGCCGAGGCCGCGGCTTCTTCCCGCAGGCCTGGCTGACTCTGCGCGACCCCGTGCAGATCAGTTTGCGCCTGTTTCCCTACAAAAGCAAAGCGCTTCAGTTTGCAGCTGTCATCTACAACCTGCTGCTGTGCCTTCGTAATTACTCAACCCCTGACCTTCCACGGTGTGCAGTGACGGGGCACAGATGCAGAGATTAGGGGCCCTAAATTCATCCTCAAAAGAAGAGGCTTGTTTGGATCTGAAAATCCAGACGTCTCTATGCAAGAAGCAGGATGTCTAACAGTGTCTCTCCCTGACTTAGATCTGAGAGAGCGAAGTCACCAGCCTGGAGCTGGAAGAGTGGGCTATTTTGTGTTCTCATTATTTGTTCCTTTTGAAGTCCCACTGGCACTAATTTGATAGAAATAGAAACGGTAGATCAAAGCTGTGCCGACTGACTGCGGTCCTCATGAGCAGGACGTGGGCCCATTTCTAAAGAAACAGATCTACGCCTTCCCACGCGGGTAGCTCCCACGGTGCACATTTTAAAGTAAACACCCTTTCTATTGAAATCCCATTTGTGTCCGTGTGTGCGGCACTGCCTTACCGAGAATCCAACAAAGCAGAGGCTCGCAGAGCAGAATAGGATCCATCGCCCTGCCGAGCTGTTTTGTGGCACGAATCTCAGACCTAAACACACATGCATGTATATAGACGTTCCTTCACAAGTGATAGATTTTTAATACTTGGCCATTTTAAGAGTGGACTGTGCCGGCCAAATAGCTCAGCGGATTAAGGCGTAGCAGATTAAAGGCAGGCAGACGCTGCAGCAGGGGGTTAGATCCCAGACCCTGCTGTACTGGCCCCGCCCCCGGGGTGTCCTTGAGTCCTCAAATGAGACTGGGCGTGGTGGCACATGCCTGTAATCCCAGCTCTTGGGAGGCTGTAAACAGGAGGATTACTAGGAGAAACCCTGCACTAAAGTATAGGAAGAAAGAAAGAACGAGAGAAAGGAAGGAAGGAAGAAAAGACTGGACTTAGTGCTTGACTTCTAAAGACAGTATTATTTGTATCTATTTCTTGTGGATTTTTCACTATATCGCTGGACTTTGTAGCGCCATACAGTATAAACATGATATTAAAATTACATAAGTTTACGAGTTTAGAAAATTGTTAAGAACATCAGGAGTGCTTTTAAGTGTGGAAAGGGCATATAAATACGTGGGAAGGGTTTATAAAGCCACGAAATACATATGAATCCTAAAATAAATATCATGTTGCTACTTCGCTGATTTTCACTTATCGCGGGGGTGTCTGGAACGCAACCTCCAGGATAAGTGAGGGGCCACATTAGCTGGATAACTACAAAGAAAAAACCCTGAAAAGCACAACATCGACCGGGTATTGAAGGCCAACCGCCCCACCAGCCTTCCAGTAGGAAGCCACTCCCGCGGCATCTGCAGAACGCAGGCCTTTACGTCTGTCGGCTGCCTTCCGAGGCACACAGCCCCGAGTTTAACCTCAGGAAAACATTAGGCAAACCCAGCTTGGGTGACTTTTCTCAGGGTCCCTGTGTCTTCAGCACTGTCGAGTTTATAGAAAATTCTTCAGAGCAGAGGAAGCTGGGGCTCAGGGGAAGGCGTGCCAAGGGGTCCGCTTAGGGAGAGCCGCAGCAGAAGCAGAGTACCGGGGCAGAGGTGTGGGCGGAGGCCGGGGCTGCGCGGCAGGGCGTTGCGATGTTTCGTGGTGGTGGTGGTGGGAGTTGCAGAACCGGGGACTGAACTCAGGCCCTTCGCTTGCCAGGCAAGCGCTTATTCTACTGAGCCATGTTCCCGGCCCCTCAGATTTGCCAGCTGTACCAGGGAGATGCCAGGAGCGGTGTGGGCGGCGCGTGGGTGAGGCCTGCAGGGGAGCCCTCAAGGAGCCTTGCAAAGTCTCCCTCCTAAGTACACCATCATTCTGAAACAAAAAGTATGCCCCAAACAATATATTGTAATTATAGCATCGCTGAATTGGAATTAGTGGTTGCTCTTCTCCTCCCTGATCGTTGAAAGATATTTAATATTCTGTGGTATTCATTAAAAGGGATCAGGCCTGGGACAGTGCCTGGGACTGCGAATGGCACAGCGCCTGGCAGATAGGAAACGGTCGTCAAAAGTCAGATTTCTTGTTCTTGCTGATATTCCATCCATATCCCACTACGGTCACTGAAAAAAAAAAAAAAAAAAACCCTGCCATTCCACTTCCTTCTTGGTTTTGCCCTGTAAGTGTTGTAGTGTCACTCGGCCGATTGTATAATGCAAAGGTGAGACACCTGGTGAGGAGTGGGGCCTCACCGCTTTTCTCGCTCTCTTCCAGTGTCATCCCAGCGGCTGCCTGATAGACCTCTGCCTGCAGATGGGCGTCATCATGTTTTTGAAGCAAATATGGAACAACTTCATGGAGCTGGGCTACCCGTGAGCATGATCTTTTGAAACTTAGCTTAGGGCCTGGGGAGATGGCTCAGTGGAATAAGCACTTCCCTGGCAAGCACAAGGGCTGAGTTCAATCCCTGGTTCCACCAAAAAAAAAAAAAAAACAAACCTTAGCTTTTATGCTCTTTAGATGGCACAGACAGAGGTGCTGAAATGCCCCACTGTAGACACTAGAATGCACTTACTTTCCACCCCAATTCTTAGATACAAGGTATTTAAAATAATATGCTAGTGGGCCTTTGAGACTTAATTAACCAAAAGCTGACATGAGACTATTTTGAGTAATTTCTTGATTAGTGGAAGAATTGATTAGTTGATTGATGATATAAATATCTTAGGTGGGGCTGGAGAGATGGCTCAGTGGTCTAAAGAACCTACTTAGAACAAGCTTAGCTAAAGCATCAGGGACCGCGGTTCAATCCCCCAGCACCACATGCCAGCCAGCCCGCCCCCTGGTGGGCTGAGCTGGCCACACACACACACACACCTCTCT